TAGCCCAACTTCATCTCCCACAATATTAGCTTTGCAATAGAGGAGAAACCTCTATCATGCTGAAAGAAAGAAACATTTGCTCAGCTGCATGAAGCACTCTAACTGCTATTATTACATCTGTATCAGTGCCAAACAGAGTTGTCTTTTGTGGATGACCTGCCACGCAAGGTTGTCACACAAACCCTTGAAGAGAGATGTTAAGTTCTGTAGCTCTCGCTTGTGCCATCCTTGGGTGGAAACCGCTAGCGCGACGTGCTATTGCTTTGCTTGAAACATGGATAAATCCATCGTCATCTCAACTTGTCACCCAGAGATATACAATCCCCGACTCGTATTTTAAAAGGCTAGCCGTTCTGCAGCGAACGAGGTGACTTTCGGTTACGCGGACAATATTTGTAGTGCTCGCCCCTGGCGAAAGCACTACAGATGACGAAGCGCTTCCTGAGCGATGGGTGCAACGACACAGAAAACGTTCCTCACTGTAAGATCTACAGTTGAGCCATAAGGAAGTGGACGTGCGTGTGGAGTGACACCCCCGCTTTCAGTTTGCCAGACTCAGGACACGCTGTCGACTTCCTTCGAATTGTCGCCCTGCGATGTAGTGGTTAACGACCTCTAATGCTCCCGCGAGCTCTGTGTTCACGACCAAAAGAGCTCAGGGCCACTGCTTGAGCCCAGCTCATAGCTTTTCTACTTCCCTAGCTATTGCCGAAAACCGCAGGGCATCTGATGACGCAGGACGTCCTGATCGTTCCGATCAAAGGCGTCTACGGCAACTGGGCAATCTTGCCGAAGTGGCGCCTCAAACTCCCACGAGTTTTCAGAGTCGAGAGATCCCCGTCACTTCCCAAGATATTGGGTCTGACCCTGGTGACGACGTCGTCGTACTAGAGGTTCCACGTGATCGAGGATGTCACCGTTCTCAGCGAGAAAAGTCGGTGGCAGGTGGTGACGAACAGGTCGACCGCCGCTCGGTGACTCGTGATGCTCTTCGAACCCTTGAGGACGAGGATCTTTGTGATCGGCGCTCCGCTGAGCGTCATGCTGAAGTAGCATATCGTTGTGCGGACGCTCATGAGGATTTGAAGGCCGTCGTGGCTGCCTCACCCTGAGGACTACCGTGCTCTGTCGGAGTGACTTATAGCCGTGGAGCAGGCAAATGCGTCGCTGCGTGCGACGGTGGAGCGCTTGGCGCCATTTGAACTGGAGGTCGTAGGACTCCGCGCTCAGAACCAGTTGCTGGTTCAATTTATGGGTGGCCGCGGACCCGTGGGATCCGCTCTGGCGCCAACGCTTCCGCGTTCACTTGCGCCGGATCCTGGTACGGCTTGAACAAGCCGACGTAAAACGCCGGGTGAGTGCGCATCCGTTTCGAGAGATTCAGCGTGTACGCTAGGCCCCGTTTGGTCACAACCTTAATCGGTCCGATAAATCGTGGACGAAGCTTCGTCCAGAAGATAGCAGAGGCTGCATGTGTAGGCAGGTATTTTGAATTCAATATAAGCAGGCCCCCGACTTTAAGCTTTCCGTTTTACCTCTTCCTTTTTCATCTGCATATTCTTTTTGCAGGTATTGGCTTTCAGCCGTCGTATCGCGACGTGTCGACGGACACTCAGTCTGGTAGACAAGAAGTCATCGTCTTTTTAACGGATGGTGGGGGGCTGACATCAGCTAGCCGTTCCGCTTTCCCCCCCACCAAGCCCTGAGCCATGGGATGGCGGCATCAGCAAGACGCGAGGATGAATCAGCCCGTTCACGTAGAATGACGTGCAGCCGGTGGACGAATGCACTGCATTGTTCAGTGCAAACTCTACGAGTGGCAATATGGCGCTCCAGCGCCTCGGTATCTCAGCGCAGACACAGCGAAGAACGTTTTGGATGACGCGTTTCACCCTTTCGCTTTGACCATCGGTCTGCAGATGATCCGCTGTCGACATATCGAACTTGGTGCCGAGCACCTTGACGATAGTCGACCAAAATTTTTCCGTGAATTGGGAGTCTCTGTCAGAGACAATCGACTCTGAGGGTCCGTGTTATCGAAAAACAACCGCTACAAACAGCGTTTTTGTACCGACTCCGTCGATGGTGTCTGGCACCGCCACCAAATGGGCCATCTTGCTCAACCGGTCCACGAATACCACGACACCCGTGTTGCCCACCGAATCTTTCGGCAGGCCAAACACAAAGTCC